ATCGCCCCTTTCACCCATCCTTTCATCTTCACAAGGCTTTGATTTACTCATTTTGATCATCCTTTACTGACTAGGATTGACGAAAGGGGCCTGAATACATCCATCCTTCTGTTATTGTAATTACTAGTAACAAAGAACAGCCATTATTAATTTTACGGGAGAGTAACCTTTTTTCTCAAGTATTGACCACAGCATCAAAAGGATCATTCTGCTGTTGCCACCAGCATGGCAATGAAAACGATAAAACGAACCCAATATAACCGATAACCCCCTTCATGAAGTGTGCTGAATTTAGATAGTTAGTTACCAGTACTCATACTTTTGTAAGAGAATACTGAAAAACCGCAGCTGAAAACACACGGCAGGTGCCACGGTTCACAAAGTGTAGTATCCAACCTTGCCCGGGGAATTTTGATATTCCCCACGCAATTTCCTGGATTATTTGGTTTTGAAGCGGGGTTTTTTTTTTTTTTTCTTTTTTTTTTTTTGGAAAGGGGCCGAGGAGGGGGGGGAGGATAACTATGACGTGCTTGTTTACAAATCAATATTTTTGTCAAAGTCCATCGGACGAACGGGGCCCCAAGGATATCGTTCTTCATCCACCTTCGAGAGAAATGAAAATATGGTTGGTTTAAAGTGCAAAAAAGCTTGCTTTTTTTTTATGTTTTTTATCTAGTTTATCGAACAAGTGTGAAGTACATGAAGCACAAAGAAAAGTAACAATATAAAACAAACATTTAGTCAGGACAAACTGAAAATGAGAAGAAAAAATAATCAAGAGCCACGAGTCAATCCCACATTATTTCCGAAGTAATATCGGAAAAATATGCGAGGAGACAGTCAGAACCGGCCGATTAGATATAGAAATATAATGTTTCGCGCGGGAAGTAACAAAGTTATCAAAAACGGGAGGCAGGTTACAAAAAGCAGAAGTAGTTGCACAGACGCAAGAGATCGAAGGTAGAGAAAGTTGAAGTCAAGACCCGAAAACGAAGCAAGAAAATATTATGGCAACGCCGGGCAAGACATATATGGAAGGATTGGTGGAAGCGGCGGTCGATAAAAAGGTGTCACAGGGAGAAACCGAGTCAGTAAAGATCTCGTACATCACAGTTAACCTGTTTGACGAGTAGGTGCGCTTAATCATGGCGTTTTTCTCAACCTCCCATCATCCCATATTCCAACAAAAAGGACGACAATCAGACAATAACGCGGAAGGACGATGATCAAAATTTGAAAACAATCGGAACAGCCACCATCAAGCACGCTAAAAAAAATTTTTTTTGGAACATCTAGTTCAATGTTTACTCCCTGGCTTCAGCAATCGACTTCCAATAAGCCTCTCGCTTGCGAGATTCCTCCAGAGACGCTTCCAGCTCTGCGATTTTTTGTTCCATCTGCATATGTAGTTCTAACTTTCGAGCACGAGACTTCCGGGCAGCTGCCGTGTTGCGGGCTCGCTTGGCAGCAGTCGCATCCGTGGGGTCATATTCAATTGGCGGCAGAGGCTTCTCGCGATGGCGAGGCTTAACACCAGAAATAGACGAGGGACGAATAGATGAACGATAATTTGGGTGAGGAGATTCCTCAGGTGAAGAATCGGTGCCCTTGAGTGCTGGTGAGGAAGAATGGGATGCAGAAATGGAGTTTGACAGATTCTGAATGGTTTTTGGGGGGTCTTCGAGGATGGTTGAACCATGGGGATCGGTGGGAAACAGCGAGTCCCAGTGCTCGTGACCAGGAGCAAGATCAGAATCCGCGACAAAAAGAGGGGAAGTGTTTTGGCTGAAGTAACCTGGAGAATCAAAAGAAGGGGTACTGATGTCCGTGAACGTGGCTGAAGGTGGGAAGGAAGCAGCATCCAGCATCAGATCTTTTGGAGAGACGGTCACCTGGTTTCCAATCTTGGTAGGATGATTGATCGAAGTGAAGTCAGGCGTGGCGGGAGACGAGACGAAATCCGCTGCTGTGAAATCGGCAGCGAAATCGGCCAGCTCGGCAAAATCTGCTGGATCGTTAGTAACGAATCGAGAAACATGGAGTATCAAATCGGTGTATTAACCGCGTACCTTGAGGTATACTGGACGTAGACATGATACGGCGATGAGGTTGTTGCATATTCAAATTCCGATAAGAAATATTTTCCGTGTTGTTACTAAAAAGTGGAGGACGATTGGATCGAGGCGAGTTTGACGGAGCCGAAGCGGCGTAGAAACTCGGAGGTTTCACACCGGATGGACTGGACTTGTTGCTAGACGACGAATGAGAGAACCCTTGAGACTGTGAGATAACCTTAGCTACTCGGGGATCCTGGATAAGTGAGCCGCTGTAGATGTGGTTGCGACCCGAATGTCGTTGAGGATGTTGAGTGTAAGTAAAGGTCAAATCCGAAGAAGACTGGGAATTGGGTCTAGGGGTTTCTGAGCTGGACAGGTTCGCACGCTGGGTCCAGGTGTGAGGAACCTGCTGACGGGAAGAGACACGAGGACTCGGATAGAGCACGAAGTCGTCCTGCGGATAGAGCGTCGAGTTTTGAGCCGGAGGCTGCGATGATGGGGGTTGAGAAGGCCATGGTGACTGTAATTTGTCCGTGGTGAACGACGTGACGTCGAACGGTGAAATGGCTGTTGGGAACGAAGAACTTGAGCTACGCTGCGCGATGCTGGAGTTCAGAGGCCCTATAAAAGGAGGCTCTGAGGGGAGAGTTGAAAGAGTTGAATGAGGAAACTGAGTGGAAGCAATGGTGTCTGTCCTTGTGGGAGAGACCAGAAACCGGGGAAAGGGAGCCAAAAGGCTTAGAAGACAGCCATAATCTTTGACACTTTTGATTTAGATATTGGCTACAGATTGGGTGTGTGGCTCTGAACTTGTGGGATTTGTGGACTGGTGGGTATGATTGAAGATGTCGGAGTGATGGAGAAAATTTTCAGGATGAGGAAGGAGAAAAGGCAAAAGTGGGAATCAGGCATCTATTAAAGCGCGGGCCTTGGTTGCGGCTGTCCATGGATGTCCCAAAACGGCTTAGTGGTTGAGGCTGAAATAGCATCGCAGGTCCATCGACACTAGTCCTGTTTAGGTACCCCGATTCACTCGCTAATCCTAATGCGACCAACCACCGTCTGCGCAGTGATCACGGGTGTGAGTCATAGTCCATGTCTCCCTCCCATTGGTCCATGGCCCGCCTCCTCGCCCTCGCCGACGCGCTAACATACCCTGCTAAGTTGGCGCCATTCAACCGGTACCTGGCTGGACTTTGGCTTTGCCTCATGTCGCGTGCGGGTGCAGGTACCACCTCGGTACCGCCACCACACGAGCATCGCGCTTCAACGCGGTCTCACGGGACCTTACGCCAATCAGGGCCAGTTCGGGGGTTAGCGTGGGCTGTGTTGACTCACCCGATACGAACGGTTGGTTGCATGGGGAAATATCTTCAAAAGTTGAAAAACGTCAACCAAAAAAAGGAAATCGAAAGCTCAGATGTTCTTTCTCCCAGTTGTCTGGGGACTCGGGAATGCAGCGCAGGGTGTGGTCCCGGTCCTGATTTGTTGTTCTCAAAACTCCCCACAGTCGTTGGCCATCTGCATCTTCTGGGTGTCAAGGTTAGGCGTCGGAGAAAGAAAACTTTCAGATGACAATTTGCCCGGTTTTTTTTTTCCTTTTTTTTTCTTTTTTTTTTTTTTTTCTTTTTTTTCGGCATTTCGGTCTGATGGGGGAGCGCTCTGCTCTCCTCGGGTGAATGTTGAACCCTGCCTTGTGGGGTGGTCTGGTCCTAGATGCCGAGCTACCCCCCCACTGCCATTTGATATGATTTGACAACATGCAACATGCTGGCTTGACATGGATCGTGGCAATTTCCATGGATTTCATTTCGCGTGTTCGTGTCCGTGTCCGAGATTATGGTTGGTGCCTTCTCGAACGAAGCTCCATGATCTTGGAACCTTAGGAGCGGGCCTCTTCCAACAATAGGAATCCGACCCGTTCCCCCGCCATTTCTGTTTTCCAATTCTTTGGTGATATCTATCAAGGAAAAGGAAGTGAAAACATATTGAAAGAAGGATTGGCGACATCTGTTTGCGAAGAACATACCAACCAGGAAACGAATGGAAATCCTCTGAACATACATTTGAGATATACTATTATATATTGAGCTTATCTGTGGCCATCACCCAGACGCTTGATGAAGGGGAATTGTGTGCAGGCCGGAGAAATATATTGAGAGATGACCATCATTGAAGAGTGAATTCATACTCCTGGCCCCTTGCTTTCTTACTCTCCAGCTCTCCTCGTCTTATTACTCCCTTCATCTCAGCATCAGCCCAACAAATTGCCCAATTGCCCAATTGCCCAACAGCAATGAGCCCACATCACATCGCGTAGGACAAGAACAATCCCGTACAGTGATTCCCACAAAATCCATCCGTCGTCATGGCAACCGTCCGTTGCTGCAGTACTCGATGTCTCTTCAGGCAAGCGAAGGTCGGAGGCTACAGCAGAATTTATCATTCCAGACAACGGCTACCAGACACTGATACCAGGCACAGGGTTGCCTAGAGAGGCTGAGAAGCTACAAATTGTAGCCACCCCAAAATCTGAAGCTGTTTCGAGGCTCCGTATACAAAAACAAATCAAACTGAAAATAAACAAGCTACTGAGAGAATAATATAGACAATTAAAACCATTCTTCAAAAGGGTAACTTCGAAATCTTGATAAATAGTAACTTCTGACCTACTTTTCGTCGAGGTCAAAAACTCCGCAGCTGCGCACTAGGCCGATTTGGTTTTCAAGGTTTAAAGAAAATGATAATTCAAAATTACAGCGCTATCCTCTGCTCTGTGACTTTGACGTATACGCGGCGTAGAAAGCCGATAGGCCACATGTGCGCTTTGAGCAGGGACCTATGAAGGAGATGGGTCTCTCTGATGGCTCTTCAAACCACTCCATCCTACCTATTGAATATCAAGCAAATATGGTTAAGAGAAACACCATAACCTTGGTAAGCAACTCAAAGCCAAGGCAACAACAGACGGACGATGGGGCAATTCTGCTGCGCAAGGCACGGTTTGAACCACGAGTACTTAGTTCGGAGGTGTGGAACAAAGGTCCTTGCGCAAACTAGAAATTTCGATGGTAGCTTGAAGTCAAGCATGTTACCAGTAGGCAACCCTTCGCGAACAGGTGGGGAGTTTCGAGGCACGGTATCTAAACTGTGATTTTTCAAATTAGGCGTTGCCCGATGACTTCTGCTGTGAGGATCAGAATTCTTTGAGGTATTGAGATTGCCACCATCTAGACTTTTGTTTTACACACCGTACCTGACTTCCGTTTGTGATTTAAGGTTAAGCCATGTGCCAGGAACACGCTTCATTATGGATCCAGCGGGGGCCGGGCAACCGGCGAAGGATAAAGGAATAAAATATATCATCCATCTATGTTGGCATCCCTATTGCTTCCTAGAATTCCACGAAGAACCAACATTCCACAATCTAGTTACTTACCTCTCCTAGCATTCAACATGCTGTACCAAGATGGCATAGCGGTGTCATGTCCACAGAGTCTTTAGAAGTTTAGCTAACATTAATGCAGATTACATCTGTACAGACAGTTTTTGATCTTTTAACTGATTTAGGAGTCTGTCCAATCTGTGCGCTGTGTAATAACAGATCAGAATTTAGTTGCATGTCCAAGCAGCAGCCGATATAGCTACAGGAGCCTGTACCTTGTACCCCCCATCTACTTCCTAGCACTACTAGGAAGTTAAAACTGCCGAGGATGCAAGCACCCAGTGGCACCTATGGCATGCATCACGACACCTACAGCGTAGTTTCAAGATCTAATGTTCTCAGAGAATTTAACCATATATACAGATTATACATTCCTACAGAAGCTGTAGTATTTAGACATGAAAAGTCTGTTTATATCAGACACTCAAATGTAGCATTCACAGACACTCAAGAGACTTCTTCGAGAAGATTTAAGTCCTACCGAGTACAAAGTGCTATTTTAGTGAATTCTGAGCATGCTAACAGCTATCAGGCCGCTGGAAGACTTCATAACTCTCCTTTGAGATGCAAGGCTTCGGCTCCACCTGTGGCATGACATAGTGTGAGATCTTACATATCGATTAGTACTCTATATGAGATATCGATCAAAGAAAGATACATAACGTAAAGTTATTTTGCGTATGTATGGCCGAAAATTCAACCATCCCAGTCGACGGTCTGATGGAACAGGAGGTCTATTGAGAATCATACCCAGCGACAACTGCGCTTCTGAGTAGAACCAAACCAAGTTAACACTCACGAGGACGCATACATTATTTCCAACAGCCATTTCTGTTCCTTTTTACTTTTGTTATATTTTAACTTGCATCCCCAATACTACAGTATCCGCCTCCGTTTGCCATAGGATACATCGTCTGAGGACGTTGTCAGCGTGTGTGATGATACCGGACACAACTCTTGAGATCTCAGGATAGGGCAATTTCATCATTGATTAATACTAGTACGAGTATTTTGAAGCCTGTCTGGCTGGATTGTCGTAACAAGTTAATGTTGCCCGCTGTAGCAGAATGGTAGTATTTGATAACTCGCGAGGTCAAAGTCTCCACAGAAAACCAGGTTCTGTGCTGTACATGTAGAGTAACATGCATAATTGGAGACATTTTTAATATCTGCAAGGAGCATTTGAGATATCTTTCCCAGCAGCATAATGCCCAAAGTACGAGGTTAAGTATACGCAGCGTAGAGGGTCACCTGGTTGGCGGCTCGGCCCAGTCGCCCGCTAAATAACCAAACCATCCCCAGTCGCTGTCTATTTACCCCAAACCAGCCCCAAACACTCGCAAGCCTTCGATACCACCCTATCCGTATGGCCGCCAGCTAGTTCTTACTTCCCCTCATTCGTCATTACCCCAGCATAGTGATTCCTCGTGAGGTGACGTGACATGTCTCTCCTCGCCTAGCACGGGACACACCCGAGAGTAACCTCCTCCTTTTACCAACCCCTACTGTAGCTCTGAAACTTGAGTACCAATATCAGAGCAACTGGACACTGGCCACCACCCGTTGTTGTACCTGGCAGATGCCTGCCTTCTTACTTCAAGAAATACATCCTTTGCTACAGGTCTGAAATCATGAGCTGGCCGTTCACCATGCGTCCTGCACTGCGGCCTTGCCGAGGGAGCGCCCGGTCAGAGTCGGCAAGGCTCTCTCAGCATTTGATCGCTGTGATTTCTGGTTGGTTCAATTGCACTTTTGGAGCTTTCCCTGATACCCTCACTCACTCCAGGTTTACATCCAAGATAGAGAGTTCGCGACTAACAACTGAGGTGTGTCTGTTGGCAGCCACCCAAATCCGTCGATTCTCTGCTGGGTCCCGACGATGCGAGGAACAAAAGAAACCCACCACCCCGCCGAATTTGATAACGTCTGTTCCTTACTCGGCTCTGACCGTTGGAATCCCCTTCGAGACCTTCCCAAACGAGCGTCGCGTTGCCCTAACGCCGCAGAACGCCGCTCTCTTGCTCAAGAAGGGATTTGGACGTGTTCTGATTGAGCGTGGTGCGGGTGCTCAAGCAAAGTTTACAGATGAGGCATATGAGAAAGCGGGCGCGACGCTGGTGGACCGGACCGCCGTTTGGCAGGATAGCGACATCCTGCTGAAAGTTCGTGCGCCCTTGCTCAAAAGATCCAACAACAACAACAACAACAACAACAACGAGGTGGCGGCTCTCCGCGAGGGGAGCACTCTCATTTCGTTTCTATACCCCGCACAGAATAAGGAACTGGTCAATTCACTGGCTGCTCGCCGCGTAACTTCGTTTGCCATGGATATGATCCCTCGCATCTCCCGCGCACAGGTTTTTGATGCTCTGAGGTATATCAGGGGAAGCCCTCATCCAATCAATATGAGAAAAGCTTTGGTGCTCACGGTTTACTTAGCTCGATGGCAAATATCGCGGGCTACAAGGCCGTCCTTGAAGCTTCGAATCATTTCGGCCGTTTTCTTCCAGGCCAGGTTACGGCAGCTGGGTAAGTGGTGAAAATCCTGTTTCTAGTCCCTGCTTCCAACAGCAAGGGAGGTTTGAGAGATGGAGATGCTAATGATCCGCAATTCAAATGCTGTAGAAAGGTATATAACCGATCAGACTCAGTACAAAACGCTCAAGTAAAAACTAATTTGGGATATAGATTCCCCCTGGTAAAGTTCTCGTTATTGGGGCTGGCGTCGCTGGTCTGAGTGCTATCGGTGCCGTGCGTATTCTGTCTGCCTCCGTAACTATGAATGGCTCGTGTGACACCTCTAACTGTGCATGTAGGCCCGTCGTCTTGGGGCAATTGTACGAGGTTTTGATACACGATCTGCCGCACGTGAGCAAGTACAGTCGCTTGGTGCTGAGTTCATTGAAGTCGACATCCAAGAAGAAGGCTCAGGTACTGGTGGCTACGCAAAGGAAATGTCGAAAGAGTTCTTGGAGGCTGAAATGAAGTTGTTCATGGAACAGTGTAAAGAAGTAGATATTGTGATCACAACTGCCTTGATTCCCGGAAAGCCCGCCCCCAAGTTGATCAAGAAAGAGGTACGCATTTGATTATATGGGACATTCTACACAGAGCATTACTAAAATTCAGAACACAGATGGTAGCAGCAATGAAACCAGGCTCTGTGATTGTTGATCTAGCCGCTGAAGCTGGCGGGAATTGCGAACTGACTATTCCCGGACAATTAACTGTTGAAAACGGCGTTACTGTTATTGGTTTGTCTCATGCTTGGTTTACGCCGTCGATGTTTACTGACCCCTTTCAGGATACACGGATCTTCCTTCACGACTTCCAACACAATCATCCACGCTTTACTCCAACAATATCACGAAGTTCCTTCTCTCCATGGCTCCCGAGGAAAAGAAGTTCGGCGTCGACCCTACAGACGAGGTTGTCCGTGGCTCGATTGTTACTGAGAATGGCGAAGTCCTTCCTCCCGCTCCCCGACCTGCTCCCCCGCCTGCTCTATCTCCTAAAACTGCTGATCTTTCCAAAGAGAGCGCCACCCTAGCCCTGACCCCGTTCCAGAAGATCTCTCGGGAGGTTGCCACCGTAGCTGGTGGGATGGGCCTAGCAGTAACTCTCGGCAAATTCACAGGCCCATTATTCATGAGCAACGTTTTTACCGCTGGACTTGCTTCACTTATTGGCTATCGTGTGGTCTGGGGAGTAGTTCCTGCTCTACACTCCCCCTTGATGAGTGTAACGAACGCCATTTCAGGTAAAATTATTCGATCCCTTTGAAGAAGAAAAGTGGTCGCTCACGAATATGATAATCTAGGCATGGTTGGCGTCGGTGGTTTATTTGTCATGGGAGGGGGGTTTGTTCCTGAGACTATTCCGCAGGCTCTTGGCGCATTGTCGGTCCTGTTAGCATTTGTAAACGTGTCTGGTGGTTTCGTTATCACCAAGCGAATGTTGGATATGTTCAGACGTACGCTCTCATCCATTTTTTTTTTCGTCTCTCTCCTCCCTGTGTGGTTCACATCTAACAATATCACGGAGTATCAGGCCCGACGGACCCCCCTGAATACCCCTGGCTATACGCCATCCCCGGTCTGTTGTTTGGCGGAGGCTTTATTGCTGCCGCAAGCACTGGTATGGCTGGCCTTGTTCAAGCTGGATATCTAGTTAGCAGTATCCTGTGTATTAGTATGTTTAGACTCATTTGTTCCAGCGATGTTATCATCAACTAATGATTATAGGTTCCCTTTCTGGCCTTGCGTCTCAGGCGACAGCGCGGCGGGGCAATATGTTAGGTATTTTGGGTGTCCTTTCTGGGATGCTTGCATCCCTGGCTGCTGTTGGCTTCTCCCCCGAAGTTCTTGCGCAATTCGTTGGAGTTGCTGGGTTTGGAAGTGTTCTGGGTGAGTAACTCCTTTCTTGTAAAACCCTGATCTTTATAAAGCATCAGGGAGAACGGTTCTAATTATTTAGGTGCACTAATCGGCCGTCGCATTACACCAACTGGATTACCGCAAACTGTTGCTGCATTACATTCCGTTGTCGGATTGGCGGCCGTTCTTACCAGCATTGGAAGTGTTCTACTAGATCTTGGGCATATTTCTACGCTCCATCTTGTCACTGCATATTTGGGAGTTGTCATTGGTATACGCCACTTCCCAAAATGTCCTCCATGCAGGCATTGCTAATTACCCATACATAGGTGGCGTTACGTTTACTGGTTCAATCGTTGCTTTCCTCAAACTAGCGGGACGGATATCGTCACGCCCTACTATTTTACCTGGTCGGCACGTCATTAACACATCGCTCCTCGGAGGAAATGCTGCTTTGATGGGGGCGTTTGTCACAATGGCACCGGGTGCTCCTATGACAGCAGCGTTATGTCTGGGTGCTAGTACAATACTCAGCTTTTTGAAAGGCTATACAACAACTGCCGCTATCGGCGGTGCTGATATGCGTAAGCTTCATTCCAATTCCGAGAGGAAGGCGCACTTCGTTCATACCAAGACAGCTAACTAGAAATACTATTTGCCCTTAGCCGTGGTAATTACTGTTCTGAATGCTTATTCCGGATTTGCATTGGTTGCGGAGGGCTTTATGCTCGACAACCCATTGTTGACTACTGTTGGATCACTTATCGGTGTTAGCGGTTCTATTTTGTCATATATTATGGTAACTTATTCCGTTTCGGCACTCTGTTATTCACGTCCTTACTAATATGGTACTGTCTAGTGTGTTGCAATGAATAGATCTCTGACCAACGTACTATTTGGTGGTATATCTTCCCCAACCGCCTCGGATCACAAAATTGAAGGACAAATTACCAAAACATCGATCGATGAGACTGTGGATTCTCTTGCCAATGCGGAAAGTGTTATAATTGTATGACCTGAAATTGTTACCTGCTACACTTCATCCTCCTCACGACTGACTGGCTGCCAGGTTGTCGGCTACGGAATGGCTGTCGCGAAAGCCCAGTATGCAATTTCTGAGATCACACGAATGCTACGAGCCAAGGGCGTGAAAGTCAGATTCGCAATCCACCCGGTGGCTGGCAGAATGCCTGGACAGTGTAATGTCTTGTTAGCGGAAGCCTCCGTACCATACGATAGTAAGTGACACCTTCAACCTCCGAAAAACGTCTGTATACTGACATATTTTACTTTTCCCAGTCGTACTGGAGATGGATGAAATCAATGATGATTTCGATGACACTGACGTAACGCTGGTCATTGGTGCCAATGACACTGTCAATCCAATCGCACTAGAACCTGGCTCCCCTATCGCTGGTATGCCCGTTCTAAATGTGTGGAAGAGCAAGGAGGTCATCGTCATGAAAAGAGGCATGGCTAGTGGATACGGTAAGTTCACCCTCTATTTGATATCTATTTCCTCTAAAGATGATCTTTCCTTTCTGCTCTTAATAAGTAGAAAAATCGCTCGAAACCGCTGAAATTTATGAGTGGCCTGTCTGAACTAATCAACTTTGTGATTGTCTATTTATAGCCGACGTACCTAATCCCATGTTCTACATGCCCAAGACAAGAATGTTGTTCGGAGACGCGAAGACTTCCTGCGATGGTAAGATTGATTAATCAATGTTCGATTCTCAGTTAGCTAACCAACCTATGAAATTAACTAGCAATCCAACGCGGCCTCGAAGCGCGGAAATGAAATCATACAATACGGTAACCATGAGTGTTGGATAACATACGATCTAACACTGGCTGTTGGTTGACATTTTGAGCTATCCCCCAACTCTTCGAGCATCTAGGGGGCAAGGATTTTAGTCCATTACAATAACATAGCCCTGCAGAAAGCAAACAAAGAAAAGAGCAAAAAGCAGAAAAGAATTCGAAAAGCCGGGTCCAAAAGCCGACGGGATACTTCTTACAATACCGTGACAATCATAACCAAAGAAAGCATTCTCAGCCAAGCGCCTAACTTATTCCCTTCTTTTCCCTAGCCCAGCACTCCCGTCTGTCCTCTGTTTGAGGAAACAAAAAAACAGAGTTAGAGGGAGAAGGGAAAAAAACGATACAGGGGCTCACGACTTGAACCTGAAATAAATCACCTTTTTCATTTTTCATTTCATATCCATTTCCACGTTGTTTCTCACGTACTGTACAGGAAAGAAAAGGAGGCCCAGACAGGGAGAAACTCACTGTGAAAGCTGAAAAGCGAAAAGATCTAGCATATGTCCCAAAAGACCAAATAATTTATATTAGACGGGTTTTCTTTCTCTCTTTCTCCCTTTTTTCCCTTTTCTCCTCTTCCCTTTTCTCCGTTCTCTTTTGGTTGGGAAGCAAAGCAAAGCAAAGCAAAGCAAAGCAAAGCAAAGCAAAGCAGACAATACATGTAAAGGATACATACCTGTTGATAGATAGATCCATCCAACCTTTTTCTTTCCCCTTTTAGTCCTTCTTCTTCTTCTTCTTCTTCTTCTTCTTCTTCTTCTTCTTCTTCTTCTTCTTCTCCTCCTCCTCCTCCTCCTATTCCTTTTGTTGTTTGATTCATCTTATTTCCCCATGATTTTTCGTATATCCACACACACATATCTATATAAATAAATATATTGATCCATAACAAGAAACGACGATCGTTTCAAGTATATATCTGATGATCCCCCTGGCTTTTCTTTTCTTTTTGGTTGGGTCTGCGGGCAAGGGGATTATGCACACCGAGGCTGAAGTCTGCGTGCTTGTGAGCTGCAAGGCATTGGAGAGAACAGTATGTATACAGTAGAATGAATATGTATTATGCTCTGATTAAAATACAATCTATAAGATACAGCGTTATTCTAGCAGCGTTGCCATTAGTTACCGTTACCGAGAAAGAGAGAGAGACCGAGAGAATTGTGAGAAAGAAATGTGAGAAAGAAATATGAGAGAGCACAAATTCATCTCATGTCACCGCCTGCTCGGATACCCGGCGAATTAACCGAAGACGCGGGTGGACCATGTAGGCACACGCCGCATATAATTTTCAAGCTTCTATTATGAAAAAACTCGTTTCCGCTTGTTCACTTGACGGCTCTTTGAGTTACCTGAGGCAGCATTTCGAGAAGCCGAATCGTCTACCCCCAGGGTTGTGAAGCTGGAACCTAGGCCTATGCCTTCAACCTCCTGTGACGGCCGAGTTGTTTCTGAGAAGCTCAGTTCCGATACCTCTGGTTGTTGCAATATTTCTGACGGCTCCTCGGTTTGCTGGGATACCTCAAAGTCCACATGCGGTATCGCATCGATTGCTGAACACAGTCGCTGGAAATGAGACGGCGCCCAGTCACTATAAACACTCATTGTAAACTTGTAGGATGTCCATTTCTCCCTACCATCCAATGCAGTGAAATCAAATTTGTGAATTGAATGCCGGTGGTAGGTAATTTTCTGCTCATTGATCACAGGATAGTGACCATATATTCTCACAGAGCAATAATCATATGAGATTGAGAATCCCAATATCTCTCCATTAAGCTCCTTTTCACGCTTGACAATTCTAAAGAGCTCAACAACACCTCTTACTGCAAGTGTCATGCTGTGTGCATTTTGCCGGTCTGCAATATCAAGTGCTGCCTTTCCTTTCACTTCAGATGTCAAAAATGGGAAGAACATGTCAGCTGTACCAAGAAAGAAAGAGGTTTGACTGATATCACCGATAAAGGGTGTTAGGTTAGACAGCTGCTTTTGAGTAAAGGCCTGGTAAGAGAATCCCACAGCATAGTCAGGCTGTGGCCGAGGTAGCTGGAATTGTGGTGCCTTCGAGATCCGCATATAGGGAGGTTTTATAGGTTGCTGAGACTGCAAAGGCGGATCAGTGGTGATGGAGGCTGCATCAAGGGAGACCGAGTTACTCCAGGCCTCATTTATGCTAACAACTAGGTGTTCAAATTTGACATGGCCACGACAAATTGCAATATCAGCTGAAGGAACAATAAGTTCACCTATAATTCGTACAACCCCAGTGTCATTTTTTTTCCTTAATTTTGAGCATACTGATGAAAATATGCTGTCATCAAACACTGTATTTCGAGGGGTTATAATAAGGTCGTTTTGTAGCAATTCTTGACATAAATGTCGGCTTTCGTTTTTGGGACCATCAGAGTAATCGTCCATGAAGCTGCCCTTGGTTTGAAGAAAAACCTCGAAGTTCCTATGGCTGTATGTGTTCCTAGGACGTGCACTAGTTTCACTTGGTTCATCCAAGACGGTGCTTGATTTGGAAGAAGTTTTCGGCCGCGCGTGCAAATACTCCATCGGGTCTCGTATTAAAGGTGCTGTTGATACTTGGTATCTGTGGCTGAGCCAGTACTCAACGTATGGATCTTCAATGTGTCGCTGTCGCTTCGTGAAGCGTGGGAAGTCTTGAGGAACGCACTCGTATTGGAACGATCTTTCGCAGGATCGATATTGGGGTAAAATTTCCTATGATAGTGTGAGAACCTCTGGCCGTTGCACAACGATGATAGGTAGACAAACCGAAGGAGCTGGATGGCTGTAACATTCCCCAATTACCGGAGATCCACCCGGCTGCAGAGACCCTGTTTGCCGGCTTTTAGTAGTAGAATGATCGACCGAATACTGGGATGGCTGTTCTATTCGCTGAGTGTTGGACCGCCAATAAGGCATGTGTTAGTTTTGTCTTGCAGCAAGGTGATCATTACTATTGTCTTTTGCCAACCTGGTGAGTGGCTGATGGAATTTCTCCCTCAATTTGGCGTTTCTTGAAAAGAGGTAAACTCCTTCGAAGGGAACTTGGTCCGTCGTTTTCCACCCGCTCAGGTTGTTCTACCGCCAGTTTTACATCAGTAGTTGAAGTCAATAATAGGGCATGACCTACTTACCAGGAAGGGATTTTGGCCCCTGATCGGCCATAGGATGTGATTTGCGACGGGAAGTCATATCAGAAGCTGGAGAAGAGAAAAGGGATCCATTTATATTGCTTATTGTTTGAGCATTTGAGAAAGAGAAGAGGATACAGCCCGCGCGTTCCCTTCGCGACAGCTAGGATTAGCCCTGCCAACCCCGTTCCTTCCACCAAGGTCAAGATATTCCTCTTCCTTACCTCCTGCCTTCTGTGCTGGAGCTCAGCTTTGTGTATTAGTTATTGTTTTTTGTTATAAAAAGAAGGGGAAGAAGGGGGGAAAGGGGTAAAGGGGGGAGGGGGGCAAATCTGATTCTCTTTTTTCTTGCAGGACCCTTTTTGTGCTTAAATAAATAGTTAACTAATCCTTAATAGGCTTACATAAATCCCCCCAGCTGTTCATACATGCTGCTAATACTCCGTACAACTACTTAGATCTGCAGACATCCAACAGTTTCTGCCACTTGTTAGTGGGTACTACGGCTACTCTATCGCATGCCCCCCAACATATTGTGTTGCTCTCATAGATAGTTATCCAGGGGGCGCGTTAGCGGCGTTATAACATGACACCCACCACAAATAACCTGGTTATCCGGGGAACTTGAGAGTCATTCTTCTTCTCATCATTCACAATCTCTATCATCTTCACTATTTCCCCATCTTATATGAAGCAGCAAATGACATGATCACATCATTTACAACTGTCACAAGCTTCATCAAAGTGGTCAGACAGATGATGATATTTCAGAAATGACTGAAGATCTGGATGAGCATTTCAGCAGACAAGACACATGTGTGGCTGCAAGATTGAATGAGAATGAATGGCATTGATGTACAATGACTGATGGCTTCAAACCTGCAGCTCTGTCATGCTGCTTTATACAAAGAGTACATCTTGCTCTGAGAGAGTCAAAACTGCTCTGAATTGTGAACTGTGAGTGTGCACTGGGGGCAAAGAAACTCAGCTGTTGATCAGCTATAAAGAGAACATAATGAGGGCCCTGGGAACCAGAGAGACTGAGGAGGGAAAGAGCTCTATATCATATAAAGAAGGGGGCAGTAAGTGTTGTGATATCTAATTGATGAAACAATCTGCTAAAACTTTATATATATATATATATAGTTGATATGACGATGTGTTGAAAGAAGAAAAGAAGATATTATTGTAGAGAGATGAGTGAATGTAAAGAGACAGATGCAATTCACTACTTCTGTCATCATTGTCAATCTGTCAATTCAACCCCGGTGGCCGAATGGGTAATCCGTTGATTGCACAGAACAAGCAGGTTTTCGAAACCAAACGCCATGTCCATTCCCCCAGTAGCAATTGTTTCCCTAGAGGCTAAAAAATCTACAGTGGAATATGATATTTTAGTGAAACAGCGCGGACGACTCGTATTGTGGAATACATCGATTGATTGTTGGGAATTACAGATGATAACTATTAGTTTTTGGATACGTTATAAATTCGAAGATAACCAATATATTAAAGCACCCACCAGCAAACAACAATTGGGGAAGATGGGGCAGAGGTGATTCAATTCAAACAGAGCAAAAGGATTTTAAAAAATGTGAAAAATGTAATGAACACACGGAAAACAAGACATGGACAAAAACTGAGAGAAGAAAGACTTGGGTATCGGGGTATCATTCACGTCCACCTCGCAAATATTTTTTTGGTTTCTTTCGTTTGGTTTTCTTCCAGAAAACAAAATATTACAGTAGCGTGCACACCGGAGAGAGAACTAATAATAGTAATAATAATAGATGGAAATGAGCGACAATTATATATCGAACAAGCTTTATTAAATAAAACATTGTCAATCAATAGACCGGAGACTTAAGAGTGGCGGATGCTGGCAGGAGGGGAGGGTTACAACTTGCGATGCGCGGCGACATTTTCCACATCACACCCACCACCATATAGAGACATTTTTCACGTTCGTTGCTTTTCATATTCCTTTTTGTTAAAAAGAAAAACTGGGGGAGAGGAACCCGCCGGGTTATTTTTCTTTATTTGCCGTGGTTGTTATTGGAGGGGAGGCAGGGACTACGATCATCCAATTAGGCAGTTGACACGCCAGGACTAGACAAGTACCGCTGGTCCCACCACTTCTCGATCTCAACGAAGCTCGTCCTGGCGCCTGCACTTCATGCGGCAGCTTGGACGGGTTGAGAAGATGATGCTGTTGGAGCAGCCGCGTCAGTCTTCCCCCTCTGCCTCAGCGCCGTTCACAGTTGCAGCGGGTTCGGTTGTGGAGTCTTTGCTGTTCTCTTCAGGCTTCTCAGCGGCTTCGAGAATGGGCTCAGACTCTGAAGGAGCAGTGGGCTCCTTTTCCTTCTTGGCAGCCTTGCTGGCGCGGCGGAATACGCCTCCAAATTTGGGGAGGGGAGACGATGTCGGGGACTTGGCCTTGTCTTCGTCAGCAGCTTGCTCGCCATCGGTGACAGCCTCGGACTTCTTTTCCTTCTTGGAGCCAAGGTTGCCGAAGAAAGAGGTGCGACGCTTCTCTTTGGCAGCAGGTGGGGTAGTGGTGCTTTCTGTTGTTGCTGAAGGTTCCGCGACAGGCTCCTCCGTTTTCTTTTCTGCCTTATCTTCAGGCTTGGCGGCCTCCTTCTTGTCCTATGAACCAAGTGCATGTTAGTCGGAAATAAACGGAAATTAATATTTGCACAGGGAAGATAGTGAACGTACGTCATGTTTCATTTCTTTCTTGATGAACTGAAGGAAACCACTCTTGGTGGAAGCAGGCGACGCAACTGGTTCCTCAGCCTCCTTGGCGAATTGAGAATCTTCTCCCGCAGCAGATTACGCTCTCTGGTTTTATGGGCTCAGAAGTAGAAGGATCGACAGGGTCTCCGAGTTGAGGAGCAGTGCTAGAGACAGGAGTCTCAGTGTTCTTGGGAGGGGCATCCTTCTCAGCCTTTTCCTGGTTGCTGACTTTCTGGAAAATACTTCCGAAGATGGAGGCACGCTTGGCTTTAGAGGCGACAGCTGGCTCAGGTTTTGTTTCCTTCTTCTCCTCATCTTTCGGCTCTTCAGTGGCAGCGGGGGCTAAAACCAATTAGTTCCATAATCTGAATGTTCTTCTAAACGGTTCATGCTTACCCTCAGTAGTAGACTCAGCAGGAGCAGGGGTCTCAGTAGCAGGGGCAGCGGCCTCCGCCTCATCACTTTTACTATCCTTGGCATCAGCTTTCTCCTCTTTCTTGTCCTCCTTTTTCTCTTCGTCCTTCTTAGCCAGGAAGCTTCCGAAAATGCTAGCCCGCTTCCGGGACTGAGATCGGCTCTTCTCCTTTTGCTCTGACTTCTCTTCCTTCTTTTCTTCCTCCTTCGATTCCTCGTCACCCTCCTTGGAAGCAGACTCCTTCTTCTCGAGACTCTTCTTAGGGGCAGCAGCGGCGACGACTGGAGGTTTGGCTGTGTTACAAATTTAGCACGTAATTACACCAGTAGAAAAGCAACAGAGAAAACATTGGCCATCACTTACTCATCTTCTCCAGCTCAGCCTTGTAGCCATCACTAGACGTGATGGTTTCCTTTTCATTCTTTGCCTCAGCAGCCTTGGCCTCGAGGGCCACGATCCAGGAGGTGCGCTCATCACCGTTAGCTGCCTGGAAAGTATGTTTGTGCCCACCCAACTTGAAGTGGAACTCATTGGCAGACTCCTTGGCAATGTCTGAAATATCAGCTAAGTTTATGATTCCAGTAGGGGCAGCCTTGTCCTCGGCACGCTTAGCGAAGAAGAGCAGGCCCTTGCCGGTCTGGCTGGCCCACGCAGCAGTAGGATGAGCGACGCTCAGTTTCTCGTTCTGGAAATAGGCGGTGAGCTGCTTAATCTCAACAGCATCGTCACTGAACCAGCAGAATCGCTTGGAGAAACGGAGACCCCTTTCAACAATTGCCAATTGTCAGCTTTCTTCCGTTCTAATGATCTACTGTGTATAATGTATATATATGAAGAAGTGTATGCTCAATGCCAGAGAGACTTACTTGACTAATCCTGGGGCCTTGTAGCCAAGAAATCCTTCAGAAGCTGGTTTGATTTCAGGATTAGATTCTTCCTTAGGTGTATCTTCCGCAGCGGCAGAATCATCAGCGGCCGCTTTGCTTGTTCCAGGGGCAGGAGTCTCAGCGGGCGTTTCAGCAGCGTGGGCAGCATCAGCAGAACCGTCCTTGGCGGATTCGGTAGCGGGAGCTGGGACGGCAGCAGGGACCTCCTCTGTCTTCTGAACGTCCGACATGACGACGATGAGAACTGTGGATGGGAGAGATATTAAAATGTAGTAGATATGAGAAAGATGCAGAGAGTTGAGCTTATACAAGACAACAACGGATTCGAGGCGTCTTGGATATGGTGATAAATTAAATAAGAGGGTGTTAAGATATATAAATCGGTGGCAATACAGGGTATCTTGGGGTA